GAAGAGCTTTTAGATTGTTTGTACCAATAGGCTGGTAGATCACGAGTTTCTTTTGCATCTAGATATATTCGACCAAGATATTCTTCATCACCTATAAAATATAGTAAAAATAAGAACTATAAAACTTGAAGCTGTTGTATATTGATAAGAATCCTAAACATTAAAATCTACTTGAATTTTCCAAAGTTTTATGTATTCAGCTTTAGGTTAAGCATTGTAGAAACGGTATTTATACAATCCGGCTGCTCAAACTGAAATTGATGACAGTGGAATTCAAATCTGCGTCTTGTTAATTGACAGCTGAATGTATTATCCTCTAAAAATGAAACCGATTGATTTTTTAACCAAAGAATGATTTACTAAACATTTTTGGACGGAAGTAATAAATTTGTTTAAAGTTTTTGTAACGTAAATAAAGTAGTCAATTCACTTGATGTTGTTTACTTGTATCTTCTCATGGTTACTTAGGACTGTAATTGATCAGTCTCTTGTGAAATACCTATCGACAGGAGGTTAAGAAGATCAAAGAAAAAAGAACGAGAACAGAGAATGATTGGCGTGGAAACGAAGGAACAATAAAGTCTGAGACAACTGATTGATATTTTGCAGATGAAGAATTTATTGTATGGTTCTCAGGTTTTATTAAGAGATTCGAATACGTTTGGTTGCCCCCACCTGTGTTCTCGTTCACTACACTTCAACCTAAAAAGATCTTCAAATATTGCTCCCTACATTAAGAAGTAGCTGAAAGTGAATATGTGTTGGTATATTTCATTAAATTGAATAAAAACATGTTTTAGTAGTTGAGATCATGAGTTAATTGAAGCTATACCAACATGGAAAACCTGGAAGCACTGGACGATGTAGTTCAACCGGGTCAGTTCTGAGATAGTAACTAACTGAAGATTATAATCGACGGCGGCGAAATTTCGTGGATTGGTTGAAGTTGGACATTAACACCGTAGGATTACGGCTCAGTGGTCTAAAAGTTAAGTGTTCGCGCGCGAACTGACAGGTCCTGCGTTTGAATCCCGCGAAGCAGGATCTTAGATATACACTGCCACTGAGGAGTCCCATAATGGGACGAAACGGCTGTCCAATGCCTTCAGGTTTTTCATGGTGGTCTAGCTTCAATCGGCTCATGATCTCAACTATTAAAATTACTATAATATCCACAAAACTTCTGATATTAAAAACATATTTGTCTTACATTTTAATTTACTGATCATTGATAAGTTCAGTAGTACCTGTCTAAGTGCACATAGACGATCATTTAAATAAAGTGATGCCAAATCTTTGTTGAATTGACAAAATTCACTAAAAAGTAAATTGTATATCAACAGAATGAAAATGATAAAACTTTGATAAGTCCGGTAAACTAGAATTTATAAAGAATAACTTCCTCGAAGATTTCCTGACTACTGTAGTTTTCGATATATGAAATCCAAAGAAAAACTAGGGCGAGACTATAATTTATGGACAACCTTTGAGCGATGCTAAAGTGACCTTCAGAATGTCCACCTGTTAACTAAGACTAAACGACAGTTATAAAGCAGTGTGAAGAATTAGAATTATGGGCGAGACTATAATTTATAGACGAGCCAATCACAGGCGTTTGATGGATCTCAAGGTCAAGGCGACAATTTCAGTGCCTGATGCCAACGTACTATCGGTTCGCAGCGGACTTTATGCAAAACGTGATAATTGAGCGGCTATAACAAATAAAACGACGAGACTATAATTTGTGGATGAACCAATCAGGTACAAGATAACAGATCTCGGATTTTAGCTCGAAAGCCTTTCATCCATTTGGCTAAATAGATTTCTGGCATTATAGCTGATGCCAGTTCTTGGTGAAAACCCATTACATAATTCCTAACTAAGGTAAATTACGACAATTATTGCGAACTGCATAATAAAAGCACCAGTAACACTGGCTGCAGCCGGGTACTACAATATATACGGATGATTGGATAGCCTACAGATGACTACATAGACTTGGTTATGTGCATCGTGTCGTTATCCACAAGTAGCATTTTGTGCACTCAACAACCAGAGTGCTATGCGGTCAAGGCTGAAAGCGATTTTGCGACCTGATCATGGCTCCAGAGGCTGACTGTTATGAAACCAAATGGATGATTTTCTCTACTACATGCGTTAGGATTTTAGAACCTCTGAACCTCTTTCTAACCTTGACAAGTTTCTGAACCATGTAAACGAAGTGTATACACTTTATTCTTTTGTTTTGTATAATAATATTTTTACTCTTTACTGACTGTTTGCTGATTGACTAATGTTTTTCACGGTCACTAAAGATTCGATCAAAGGTCGTCCATAAATTATGATTTACAGTTGATAGTTAGGGTGAACGAATTCCGCGTCGAAATCCAAAGCCTGTTACCTCGTATCTAATTAGTTCGTCCACAAATTATAGTCTCGCCAAAACTAGAAAGTGAATATTCTAGATTTATTTATAGAAGTCAAAGGATATTTATATAGTTACCGCTGACTTGGTAATTGTTTAAGTTTTCTTTGGGGAGGGGAGAAAAAGGTACTTATATTCAGTTATGATTTGAGTAATCAGTCAATCAAGTTTGAAAAGAACATATTTATCTGACTTTCGGATATTTCTGGAAATTTCAGAGAAATATAATTAGATAAAGGTTATTTGAAATACTTCTGAGCACTTCTAGACTTTTCAAACTGTCCTAATTCTCTCTTATTACAGCCCAGCTATTCCTATTGCTTAGTATCCTTGGACAACAATTCACTTGATAAATCCCCAAATCAGAATATGGTTAAATAGGAAAGAAAGATTCTACAATCTTCCTCAAGTATCGGCTAACACCGAACGCAATCATGCACGGAACATGCTATAATCTAATCTATGTCCCGCTAATACAAATATTTAAATACATTTCATAGATTCATAAAATTGTTCCTTAAGATGATTCCTGCCGTCTGTTTCAGTATCATCCCATCAGTAAACGATAGTTTACTTTAATAAAGATGAGCTCAAAACAGTTAACATCAAAAGGGTGTACATTAATAAAGATATGTAATTAATGAGGTGGATTTTCACAAGGATACAAACCAATAACTAACAGTTTGTTTTCAAATGATTGAATTAGGCATTGAGTCCAATTATCACGAGGTAATTAGCAACAAGAATATTTAGAGATCTACAAAATTAACTTTTAATTGAGATTATGAACCGGTTGACGTTAGACCACCATTGAAAACCTGGAAGCACTGGACGGCCGTTTCGTCCTATTGTGGGACTCACCAGCAGTGCGCATCCACGATCCCGCTCGAGGAATTTGAACGCGGGGCCCTCAGTGTCACGCGCGGACGCCTAACCTCTAGACCACTGAGATGGCCGGCATCCAACGGTGTTTAATGTCTAACTTCAACCAGTTCACGCATTTAAGCGACCGTCTTCCATTTTACTAAGGTAGATACTTGTCTCTACCCGACACGGATTAGCTCCACTGTTCACGGTTTCTCACTAGAACTCCGAGAATCCCCTCACGAAGCTAGTCACTAGTGAGCGCATGGTAATTATCAGTATAAGGCAATATACATTGATTATTAAATGGAGACCAATGTAAGGTGAATTTACTAAGTGGCTACAATTCTGAATGACTCAACATCTTTAACATATGAATGTTCATTAGCCTACAGAACTATTGATTTGGGCAATTCAATTCTACACAGAATAGAATCAATCACAACCAAAATAACTCAGTGGAAATGAATAGACTAAATGACATAGAATAGAATGTTGAAGGCATAATCAATTTTATTTACAACCGCTCATGTTATAAGAAGCTCCAAAATCCACTTCATATTAGATATTCTTCTAGCTACTCATGATCATATAACGTTACATCATGTAGTCACTTTAAAATTTTAATGATCATGAATTGTATAGTCTTAAAAGCTTTAAAAAAGAATCAATCACATCAAGATACCATAATATTGAAAGGAAGAAAACAAGACTTACTATGGAATTATTGTTGCACCAATCTGACTGTTATTGTTATACAAATCACAATTAACTTGCTGATCACCATATTTTGGAGCAAAACAACTGAAATCATTTACTAAACAACCAACAGTTAGCTATTAGAAATAAGTAAACTAAGTAGAATCAAGGTAAATTATGAATCTGATTAGTAGTTAAGTTCTGTAGTTCAGTTGATAGGAAGCAGGGTCGTTAAGTTGAAAACGTTGCAAATTTTAACCATCTTCGTTATTCTGTAATATCGCTTCTGAAATCTAGTCATTCAGGGATATAGACTGTGATCACACGATTACCTTGATGTACAACATACTGCATTTGATCGTCTGGCTAGTTTCAGTAATCCCTTATAGACCCTGTTAACACATTGAGGGTTCACTGAAATATCCCAGTAAAACTTCATGACTCATCTAACTAAAGCCATTGGGAGCAGTCTGAACGAAATAGTTGTTAGGGAGGATAACAATGATCAGCTTGTTAAACTCATCAAAGATATTTACGTCTTCCAGTATGGTTTAATCAGAGAGTCAATAATTTCAGGGAACGATTCTATATTTATTTCTATGCTAGATAGCACGTAAAGGTACTCAATGTTTCAGCATACATAACATGTATCTAAAACACACCCTATCTATGCAATTAAACAACCTTATCAACAGATTAAGCATTCACTTTATCATCTGCACTATAGTGATGGCGGCAAGCTGACAAAATTCATGAAAACTTTTGCTTATGTGCAGAGATATCGTTAGTTAGCAACCAACCACACGCAATAAGACTCCTGACATTGATAAGATGGTCAATGTGACCAAGTAAATTACTCCTTATGGTCAGATAAACTATCGACAAACCACAATCCTAAAGCGACATTTCATCTTCAGTGGACGAGTAACTCATTTCAAACATCCATGAGTTACCCATAACATGTCCAGATGACTCTAAATTTCATCAAACCTCTTCCTTAAACAGGTAAATATCGATGAGTAAATATACAGATAAGAGATTATTCGCTTCAGCCTCAGATGATGATACAAAAACCTCTACAGCATACCTGTGGTAACAATTGATCAATCTTTTGTTGGCATATGTTCATCCTGTGCGGACTTCCTCGATATTGCCTAAAGTCACAAGCATTATAAGCACTGGAATGCAGGACGCGCGTTTCGTCTTATTTCGGACTCGTCAGTTGGATGTACCTGCACCTCAGAATTGATGTTCACCCTAGGACCAATAATCACTCCGAGGTTGAAAGATAAATTACCTAGACTAGCCACCTCCTTCTGTATCTATCAATTCAACTGCTCCTGTGGAGCAAGTTATATTGGCAGATGTTCTAGGGATTTTTATATTCGGGCTCGTGAGCACCTACCCGTGTGGTTAAACAAAGGTGTTGTCAAAACTGTTAACAGCTCCATCTTAGACCATTTAGTCGAAACAAGACATACAGCAAACATGGAGCAATCTTTTGCAATAATCTATCGTGTCAACAGCAGTCTACCTAATTCCATCAGACTACGAATCCTACAGACGGCTGAAGCAATTGCTATTCGGATCAAAAAGCCAGAACTTTTTATCCAAAAGAAGTATGTTCAGCCACTCCTTTTACCCTGGCCAACTAGCCAATAATCAATCTTATAATGTGGTGACGTAATCTGATTAATGTTCATTTTATGTCTCAAACTTATTATTATTATTGTCAGTATGGGGGTTGTGGAGATTGTTAAGTTTTTGGTTGATAACCCCTTCTTGAGGAATTTATTCAATATCCACCCCTGAATCTACTATATTTGACCTAATTATTTTACATATTACGTAATTTCCGATTTGTAATCAAAATATTCTCTCTCTCTCTCTTACCCCATGTTGACCATATTTATTCTGATCATTATTTATCTCACAATTTCATTTGGCTTAGAAACTGATTCAAGTTAACACTGCTTTATATTAGTCAGTCCTCTCCTGGCTGATTGTTTTATGGCGAACCTAGAAAATTCAGTACTTCGACCAGTAATTGAAAGATTTCATTTATATAAAAGATATATGGATGACACTTTCATTATTTGCGAAGAAGACAGTGACCTCAATGATATTTTGAATATTTTCAATAACTGCCACCCATCAATCCAATTCACCTTAGAAGCAGAGACAAACCAAGAATTTCATTTTCTTGATATCCATTTAAAAAGAATGCCTGACGGTTTATTACAGAGATCGATATACAAAAAACCGACTTGGAATGGACAATACACGAACTTCCACAGTTGGGTTCCATTAGTTAGAAAAAGGAATTTAATTCATTCTTTATCCTCAAGGATCAGACGAATTTGTTCCAATGACACAATAGATGGGGAACTATTCTATCTTCGACAAACCCTCATCAAAAATGGTTATCCACCTAGATTCATCGATAGAAACTTGGTACCTAGACCTCATGACAAAGCATTGACAGTAGAGAAAAAAACTCTATTTATGAATATGGAATTTAAGGGAGATACGGCTGCTGAAATCCTAAATAAACGGATTTCGAAATCATTGAATAAAACATTCCACGCAGCGAAGCTTCGAATCACCTTCTCTAGCCGACCTACCATTCTGGGGTGTGTTAAGGACAAACTTTCGCCTTGGGCCACTTCAATGTGTATCTATAAATTTACTTGCTCATGTGGGGCATGTTACATAGGCCGCACAAAGCGATCATTATCCAAACGCATCTCTGAACATTATCCGGCTTGGCTCTTGAAAGGGGAGCGAAAAACAATCACGAGTTCTATACAGGAGCACTTAATCAACTGTGGACATATCGCTCCAAAAGACTCTTCGTTTAAAATAGTTTACAGAGTCAAAGGAACTGGATCGAAGGGGGTTCGAATCAATATTTTATGCACCGCAGAGGCATTGGCAATCCAAAAACTAAAGCCTGAACTTTGCGTGCAGAAACGATTTGTCCAACCTCTCATCCTACCCTGGCCCTAGTTCCCTTAATGGGTATGTTTCTAGGTGGTTTTTTTTTATAATTTTTTTACTGCACTTTTATTATTACATTTTGCAATTTAAACTCTAATCATTTATTATTATTACCTTTTACAAGTTTTCTTGATTATCATTCAGTTTATTATTATGACCTTTGTTGTTTTGTCGTTTTTCTTCATATCTGTCAATCTGTCAATGTGACTATCATCTGACCCTTAAATTTTGTTCTTCCTTACCCCTTGATTAGTACGTTAACCTCATTTGTTATTTCTTGTCGAATCCATTTTTTTGTGATACAATCCATTCTATCCTTCTATAGACATACATTTTCCATATATAACTATATATACGAATGTACAGCTTAAGTAAATGATTTCGTCGAAAAGAAAAAATTTTCTTCGCTGAATTCTCTTTTTCTTATTAACGATTTTATTTTTATATAACAAACAATTCTTGATTCACATATTACAATTTTCAAATGATGTGCTCATTGCCTTAAATCTGGCCAATTTTATGGATTATAAATCTGGATTTATAATTGTAGAACCTGATGAGAAATTCATTGAAAAGAATATTCTTCATTCATATGAATTGTGAATTAGACTAATGATTTAAGTTTTTGGTTGAGATCATGAATCAATTGATGTTAGACCACCGTTGGAAACCTGGAAGCACTGGACGGCCGTTTCGTCCTAGTATGGGACTCCTCAGCAGTGCGCATCCACGATCCCGCACCCCGCGGGATTCGAACCCAGGACCTACTGGCTTCGCGCCTGAGCACTTAACCATTAGACCACTGAGCCGGCATCCAATGGTGTTAGTGTCTAACATCAACCAAGTCACGAAATTGTGCTTCCAGGTTTCCAACGGTGGTCTAACATCAATTGATTCATGATCTCAACCAAAAACTTAACAATCTCCACAACCCCCATACTGATAATGATTTAAGGTTGATGATTAAGGTTAAGAATTAGATTTAGGGTTTCCATCAAAAACCGACATCAGTTATAATACCAAAAACTCTATTTAGTTAAATGAATGAGTGAATTTCGCGCCAAAATCCAAGACTTGTTATCTTATACCTGATTGGTTCGTTCATAAATTATAATCTCGTCGTTTTTTTCTATAAAAAAAAAATACACTTTTTTTATCTACTCAATATACTCACCATGTAAATTATTAAATAGTTCTTTTGGATTAAATCGATATTGTGGAATAGGATAACCTTTTTGAGTAGTTGAATCCCAATGAATTGCTAAACCCAAAGTGAATGGAGTTTGATCTATTGGCGCTATGAAATATTTCCTATTGGCTTCAAACATGGTATGCTAAAGATTATGAAGAAAGCATTGGTATGATATATATATATATAAAGGTTTGAATAATTATTTCGGGTTAGCGTTTTTTTAGCGAGTTAGTTTTTTACGGGATGGGGTCGTTAACTCTATGCCCACCCCTCCTCCTTTATCCGAGCTTGGGACCGGCAGTAGCCCCTGGGGGACTCTGTGAACTAAAATTTCCCCATTGTTGGGCTTTTCTAAAGTTAACTTTATCACTGTGTTAAATGATTTACATTTACATACATTAGATTGGAATCTCACGAGGCGGGATCGTGGATATGCATTGCCACTAAGGAGTCCCACAATAGAACGAAACGGCCATCCAGTGCTCTCAGGTTTTTCATGGTGGTCTAGCTTCAATTGACTCATAAGGGTATATTATATTATTTAACTATAACTCTTTATGAATTCATTAATAAATATCAACCTAATGAATATCATGTACCTTGATTTTCATATCGTGCCTTATCATCAATTGTTTTTTTACGATTTTCCTTCCACAGTCACTAGTAACATTTCATTAATGAAGATTTTAAAGTCTCTTCCCTAAGATGAAACCATTTGTACGATTAACGTTTTGAAGGATTTCAACGTTGTGCAAATGTGTAGTTATATTCACTGTTGTATAATATAAACTTGTGGGCCAGGGTAATTTTACAATGGTTTTCAGGAGTACCAGATATCATCCAGACTTTAACGCGATAACCCGAAAGGTACAGCTCAATCCCGCTTCACAGGAGAACCAGACACCATATAGACTTTAATACTACAATCTGAATAGTACAGCTCAATCCTATGGTGCAAACACACAGGTACCCAGCATCCTGGTGGACCAGCAAATATACAGTCTTAAAATAATCTAGATCTAACCCCTTAACAAATCTCAATAACACATATAATACCCTTATGTTAGGAATAATAATTATTATTTTACTTATTGATGAACTGTGACTGCAGCCTAGTTAATTTAATACCAGAAGGGGTTTTTGTGGATATTATAGTAATTTCAATAGTTCAGATTATGAGTCAATTGAAGCTAGACCACCATGAAAAACCTGGAAGCACTGGATGGCCGTTTCGTTCTATTGTGGGACACCTTAGTGGCAATGCGTATCCACGATCCCGCTACGCGAGATTCGAACCCAAGACGTATCGGATTCGTAGTTTTCGGATTTTGATATTCAACATTTTTATTTGATCAGTCACCGCTGGCATATGAGCCTCCATATCCTCTGTATCTCTCTTACACATCAACGATGAAATCATGGAAACAGATAATGTAGAATTTCATATTCCTTAAGAGCCTTCGTGATTATCGCAACTCAATAACGTAGTAGTTAATACACCTCAATTTGGAGCGATAAGTAATGAATTTTAATCTCAATGTAAGTATCAGAACCGAGGTACTGACAAATCCAAAATGAAATGCAGCAGATTCTCTAAGTTCCAGTGGTAGTCAGTATTATTTATACTGAGCTTTAGGGTAATCGTTAACGTAACCCATTCAAATAATTCCTTCCATACCATTTTTCTTTGCTTAAACTGGTGAGTCTCATGTTAACTTATTATTATTTGAACATATAAATATTGGTACAAAGAGGCACCGAATATATATGCACCACACAACTCAATCGATTTGTGTGTGGGATGTGATACTGCCTGGGTGCCCAAACCGAAGCAGGTGATTTTCTTAGAGGACTACACCGGGAGCTTTCGGCCTAAAGATCTAATCCACAAGGCAGTGGAGCAACGTTAAGAGATACTGTCCCATGGTAGCCGGTCACCAACAATTGGTTTATACGCCGTTTGTTCCTTCAGGATACTGAAGCCCATGTGCACCATTGGTTTGGAATCAGAGTCTTCCAACTCCCTTAGGTGAACTCTCCGTGTACACTAGCCCGGTTAAAGCGCCGAACATTCGCTTTTCGTGCTCTCGATTTCGTAAACAACACCCCTTTTGCGAGAAAGCAGTGAGTAGGACTTCCTTATCAGTGGTTGTATGCACGTGGCTATATGAGAGCATTCGGAGAGAGTGAGCTGACTCTCCTCACCCTCGACTGCACCAGGGCATTCGGGAGTCATATTAACTATTGCCCCTTTTACTTGCGAACCGTAATTGAATAAGTATATCCTTCACATAAAATGAAGTTGTCTCTAGTCCTGTTACATAAATCTTGCTCAGTAATAACTTAAACAGGGGACTATCTACCAATTAGTTAAATTACTTCTGTGAACTCAATAACATTGTCAGTTATCGTCAAGAATGAAACCTAGTTTAAGTCAAGATGTAAATTCTTGATTGAATGTTGACTGAGTATTCCAAAGAGAATAATTCGATCTTAAATGGTTGGAGATAGCTGATAGAAAGCTATGTGCCTAATCTCATGTTAGTTGCCACTCATCAAATCATCAACAATCTTCATACAAATGACTTTTTTTCAAACAATTCAAATAGAACCCAATTCGCAATCACAGACACTACTACCATGATACTTATACAGTGACTGAAAATTATTTTACGAAGGATCAGATGCAGACTTAAAGGCGAGGATTGGCAAAGCAAGAGCCGCATTCTTACAGTTCAAGAACATATAGAACTTAAAACAGCTGTCAACCAATATCACAGTGAGAATCTTCAATACGAACGTCAAGACAGTTCTACTGTACGAAGCTGAAACGTGGAGAACTACAAACATCATCAAGAAGGTGCAAGTATTCGTAAATAGATGTTTATGTTAGATACTCAAAGTCCGTTGGTCGGGAACCATCAGCAACAGCCTACCGTGGGAGAGGACAAACCAGCTTCCAAATGAAGAGAAAGTTAGGAAAAGACGTTGTAAGTGGATAGGACATACATTACGGAAAGCACCAATCTGCATCACGAGGTAACTGCAAACTTGGAATCTTGTAGGGAAACGGAAAAGCAGAGGGCCAAAGAACACATTACGTCGGAAATAGAAGCAGATATGAGAAGGATGAATGAAAACTGGAAAGAGTTGGAAAGAAGAGCCCAGGACAAGGTTGGATGGCGAGTGTTGGTGGGTGGCCTATGCTCCTCCACGAAGAGTAACAGGCGTAAGTATGTAAGCAGTAGGTAATATCACTTATTTAAGGCAGAATTTTAGCTAGTAAATGTATTATTATCGATAGTTTTATTCTTTAATAATTGAGCTTACAGAATTCACATCCGACAGACAGTTACATTTAACTGTAACACTAAACTTTGCATAAAAGTCTCCATGTAAATGACGAGGTCATGTTTGTATTATGGTGGTGGGCTAGAAGCATATAAAGTAAAGAAATCTGTTCGGTAGTTGAGATTCAAATAACCACCTTTAGATAAAATGTAAAATAATCTACCATTTAAGTAAAGAAATTCAACCCTATATTAATTATTAAATCATGATACTGAATTCACTTAGTGTTGTTTTACTTGTATCTTCTCATTGTTACTTAGGACTGCAATTGATCAGTCTCATGTTGGCATGCGTGCATCCTGTACGGACTGCCTCGATATTGCCTGAAGTCACAAGCATTATAAACAAAGATGGATAGTGGATAGCAGTGGAATCCAGCACGCGCGTTTCGTCCTATTTGGGACTCGTCAGCTGGATATACCTGCATCCAAGATTTGTCTAGCAGGACTCAATAGCTAAGTAAATGACGCGGTGGCGTTCGAAGTGAACGGTACTGGGTTCGATACCCGAAGTGAACATCAATACTGCGATGCAGGTACATCCAGCTGAAAAGTCCGAAATAGAATGAGATGCACATCCTGCATTCCACTGTTAGCCATTATCCATCTTTACATTATACTGAATGATTAAGTATAGAAATAAAAATATGTGAAATCATTTAATAAAATTATGTAATCAGTTTCACGTACATAATTGTCAACCACTATATTGGTATCCATGTCTAATGATGTTTTCTCTCTATTGATCATTGCATTTCTTAACTAAAATATAAATCCATACAACAACAACAACAAAGTAGTTTAATAAATTATTGAAGTGTTTTGTTGAATTATAGAATAGATCCAACTACAATATAAAATCAATAGAATAAGTACTGAACTCCTT